GACCCTCTAAACGAGGTAAGGTGTCGGGTCGAGCGGACCATCGACTTAGAAAAGTTCTGATATCAACATTTCAATATATTTTCTTAAGGTTTCCATCTTTTAAAAATGTAAATAGCGGACAAAGGTGGACAAAACGTAACAAATCATTCCATAAAAAACCCTTTAAAAAATTCAACTTTTTATACCCGTTACTCGTAGAGTAAAAGGGTATACTAGATTCGTCGGATGGTATGTAACAGGCAGCGCTAAAGCGAAACCCCCCTCTGTGTGAATAGGATGTTAGTCGCCATGAAACATCGATTTTTCTAAAAATGTTAAAAACATCGATGCATCGATGATTCAATCAATGTTTTTCCACCCCTCTATTGGATGGTGTTCTGTGGTAATTGACTCTAAGTCTTCCGTTCATATTTAGTATTTGTATACTAAGCAGCGTGACGGAATATGGTTTTTTATATACTTTTTGATATATAATCAGCTCAGATTTTTCTCAATTGTATAATTTTGGTATAAAATGAAATGTTTACTCGTTTTCATGGTATCCCATGCTATTTTCTGTTGGGCCACACTTTGTAATTCCATTTCGCAAGCTATGAGCAAACAAAAATATCGCGATGAGTGGGAGACCATCTCCGAAAACAATAAATTGCTTAGCAGGATAAAAATGGATGCCCACTGTAAAGCATGCGAGTGTGAGATCATGAGCGCACTGGCGCCTATAAAACAACGCGCGGCGTCCCAGAAGCATAAAGAGAAAACTAAATTAAATTAAACTTAAAGCCTAGTACTCACATCGACGAAAACCGCGAGCTAACCATAGGAGTGAGCAAGAGGCAGATACGCGGCTAACGCGGTACTCAGATATACTAGAAAAAATACGTGATTTAGGTAGTGAATTTAATCTTTGTCGGTGTTCGTGCAAAGGCGATGTGGAAACCAACAATTAAAAATGGAAGGAAAACCAAAAAAAATACTGCAGGAGGTCAGTGCAGATGTAAAAGGACGCCTAATCCTTCCTGTTGCCCTTTGTTGTGGGATTTCACCGACAGGAAGTATTACCACAACAGGGGCAAATCCGCAAAATAGTAAAAGTGCTGGATGAGATCCACTAGAGAATCCCAGTGTCCCTACATGGACATTCTGCCGGGCAAAGAAAGTAAGATCTTGCCAAAAGAATTGGTTTGCTTGTACTAATAGATGTATCTTTTTAGCAGAACCACCAGTATTATGATCTCCGACGACCTCTCCATTAGGACTCCGTACACCACCACCTCCTACTTTGCAGCTTAAGCGGAGCTGGTGGACCCGCTGGCTTCTATAGGGAGGAGGAAAATAGGGCGCCCGCTAAGGACCAGTTGAAGAAGCCATAGTCAGCCACTGCCAGGATGCTGGGCGACTTCCTGCAGCATCAGCGGATCAACCCCGTTCTCCCACTTCCTCAAGGTCCAATATGAATATTGGGACTCGGAGCTGTGCTGCGGTGGCGCGGGAAAGATGGCGAAGCATCCCTGGGACGAGAAGGAAGCTTTAAACTACATAAATAAAAACATTCCTTGAACATACCATTTATTTTTATTTTAATTTCTTTGTGTACCAGCAGACTCCTACTTTTTTATTTTTCCAAATGATTTGTTTTCCGTTTGGCAACAAACCCAGCTACTTGGCAGTAAGACCATGCTACATGTGTTGCTGGTGAACTTTGAAAACTTCAGTCACACCACAATGAATAAGATTTTTCGACTAGTGAAACTCTTAGCCGATCTGAGTACTAGGCTTAATAATAATTCTTAGTTAATTTAGTACTTAGAAACTCGACTTGTTTACAATAAAAGTATGCATATAAATGATACTCGAATGAATTTTAAGGACTTTCATAATTTTAAGAAAATGAATCAAAATATTGATTTTGAAACTTAAAATGAAATTTAAAAAAGAAATAATATCTTTTATATATTTGTAAACATAATTCAAATATTCATGCGTTTTAAGTGACATGTTTAATGGTATTTTTATGGAATATTCTGAAACATCAAATGGTATATTTTAGAGTATTTTTGACGGATAAATCGTATTTTTCGATTTGGTCACGCTATACTAAGGGTATGTTGTTGCTCCAAAATATATTTGGTTAATCTTTAATGTCAAGCCATGGTACCTCTATTGACCAGCATTCCTCGGCGCACATACGCAACTAAATTGATCGGGTCCCAGGTGGCTTTAATGGCTCGTGGACTGCCAAAAAAGGAACCCATTACTGGCGTGCAGGACATTATAGTAGTGGCATCAGGAAAGGGAGGTGTTGGCAAAAGCACCGTCGCAGGTGGGCGAGGATGAGTTATTCTAAGACATTGTGATGTTATTCGTTTTAATAGCTAATTTCGCCTGCAGCTTGGCCAGACTGGGCAAACGAGTCGGGTTGCTAGACGGAGATATTTTCGGACCTACAGTTCCTCTTCTAATGAACGTCCACAATGAGCCGTTTGTAAACGATAGGAATCTAATGATTCCGGCCCAAAATTACAATGTAAAATGCTTGTCTATGGGCATGCTTACACCTTTGGAGTCCTCTGTTATATGGCGCGGTCCTCTTGTGATGTCAGCCATACGACGGCTGTTAAAAGGAACTGAATGGGGACCGTTAGATGTTTTGGTTATAGATACACCGCCAGGAACAGGAGATGTGCATCTTTCAATATCTCAAGAAGCACCCATCACAGGTGTCATCTTGGTAACAACTCCTCATACTGCTGCTGTGCATGTGACTTTAAAGGGAGCAAGGATGTACGAAAAGTTAAATGTTCCTATCTTTGGTGTAGTGGAGAACATGGGTTATAACATCTGTAAAAACTGCAATCAACGAATGGATTTCTTTCATAAAAGCTTAATGAATTCTCTCCCACGTAAGCTTATGTCTCTTCCGCTAGACTCGCACATAGCAGAGTGCAACGAGAATGGCGTCCCTGTTGTTATAAAGCATCCAGACAGCGCTTATACAAATCTATTTACCCAATTGGCAAGAGAGATTTCGGAAATTCTTGACAAAAAAAATTCAACTAATCCACACGAAAATAGTGAAGCCTAAAACGACCAACTTAAGTGGTCCCCATATTGTTTCTTGCGGATGTATTTGTAAGTTTTGATGTTGTATTGCTGAAGAGCTATTAAAGATACCTATAACGAAGTTACGAATTCATTTACATAAATGTGATCGGCAAAAAAATTATTTGATGACTTAAAGCCTATTTACACTAGGGTGGAGCTATGAGGTTATTGGCCTAGTACTCAGATCGACGAAAACCGCGAGCAAACCATAGGAGTGAGCGAGAGGCAAATACGCGGTTAACGCTTTTCGTCGGGTCTGTTTTTCAGCGCGGTACTCAGATGAGCTAAGGAAATACCAGAAAAAATACCAGACTTCGCGAGTGAATTTTCGGTGAAATTTAATCTTTGGCGGTGATCGAGCAAAGGCGATGTGGAAACTAAAAATTAAAAATGGAAGGAAAACCCCAAAATCGGATGTAGGAGGTCAGTGCAGATGAAATAGGACGCCAAATCCAAGCTTATGCCCTTTATTAAGGGATTTCACCGACAGGAAGCAATTCCACAAAAAGGGCAAGTTCGCAAATAGTTGAAGTGCTGGAGGAGATCCACTAAAGAATCCCAGTGGGAGGGAACATGCCGAGTGGGACTTCGATCCTTACGTGGACATCCTGCCGGGCGCGTCCTCGCAAAGATAGTAAGATCTGGCCAAAAGAATTTGGTTGCGTTGTACTAATATAAGTATCTTTTTAGCAGAACCACCAGTTATACGATCTCCGACGACCTCTCCCTTAAGACTCCGGACACCACCACCACCAGCTACTTGGTAGCTTAAGCGGGCTAAGAGTTTCACTAGTCGAACAATCTTATTCTTTGCAGTGTGACCGAAGTTTTCAAAGTTCACCCGTTATGCATGTAGCATAGTTTTACTGTCAAGCAGCTGGGTTTGTTGACAACCCCGAAAACAAATCAACTGGAACAATTTAAAAAAGAAGAGTCTGCTGGTGCACAAAGAAATTGACATAACAATAAATATAATGTTCGACGAATGTTTTATTTATGTAAATTAGTATTTAAAGCTTTTTTCTCGAACCACGGATGCTTCGCCATCTGCCATTTCAGTTCCGAATCCCAATAGTCATATTGGACCTTGAAGAAGTGGGAGCCGGATTGGGAACCAGCAACCTGTTAATAGCTGGTGATGGCTCCTTTAGCTGTCCCCTAGCGTGCGACTTTATTTCCTCCTCCCTATAGACGCCGACGTACTAATTCTTAAATTCCCCACCGCATTTGCAGGAACTCCACCAAAGATTAAATCTCTTATTCTTTGGGCCGCGGCTCACGGCGTTCATCAAAATTCACTCGCTAAATCTGGTATACTTTCTGGTACTTCCTTAGCTCATCTGAGTACTAGTACTAGGCTTTAACAAGAAGTTATGGTGGGAGAAACTATGTATCTCCGTTGCTAGTGGCCTTTAAGGCACGACAGGCAATTTGTATGAATTAAATGAATAATGACGGAAATGCCGGAGTTTCGTTTTCGAGCAAGTGCTCTTTATTAATAAAAAAATCGAACTAAACTTATGGCTAACCTAAATTAAAATGCATGGCGGGGCATGGTGCCCGTGTCAGACCGCAGACCAAGCACAAATTGCAAAAGTCGTACGATCGCTGGCCACCAATAAGACAAAGGCACAAAGGCTGGATCAGCTCTCTGGCACCATAAGGGTGGTACAATATTAGCGTGGAACCATACATGAGTGAACAAAAAGTATAAGTGTGATATATTAAATATATGAGGGTAAGTTTAGTAATAATGTCAAATATAGAAATGAAATTTATAAAATATAAAATTGGCCTGCCTAGCCTATGCTGGTTGTTAACTTACATTACTCTTTGTGCTTAAAATGCTAACAAGTATTTTTTGCATCCTTATGGTGCAATCTTGCCAGAATTTTTTGTGGCAATGAACGGCTAGCTGTCATCATCCAAATGCCGGGTACGGATACGGTAACTCCTCTCCGTGGTCTATGACTTCCTGATATTCCTAATATATTATAAATATTATAATATTAACAAGGGAAAACGCTATAGTCGAGTACCTCGACCATCAGATACCTGTTACTCATCTAAAGGGACCAAAGGGAAATGGAGATATGCAAGCAGTAAAGCGAGATTAAAAGTTAAAATTTTTTTCTAGCACGAAAATTGGGGCGCCGCAGGCTTAGGCGGTTTGTGGGAGTTAGAGTGGGCGTGGAAAACGTGGATCAATCGATAGGTATTCACTAGACTAATACATTTCAGTTTAAATTTTGTATCTAGCATAAAAATTGTGGGCACCACAGATTTGGCGGTTTGTGGGCGTTAAAGTTGGCGTTGCATCTTCGCGTAACAAACTTGCACTGCGTACAAGGCTACGGAATCTAAATCTGAAATCCCAATTCTCTATCTTTGATAGTTTCCGAGATATCCGCGTTCATATGAACCCTTTTTTAAGTTTGTGGGCGGTTTGTGGGCGTTAAAGTGGGCGTGGCAAACTTTTTTTGGGTTTATCAATAGGTACTGATGAGGACAATACATTTGAGTTAAAATTTTTTATTCTAGCATCAAAACTGTAGGAGCCACAGCTTTGGGCGGTTTGTGGGCGTTAGAGTGGGCGTGGCACTCTGCTGAAACAAACTTGCGCTCTGTAAGAAGCTCAGGAATGTGCATGCCAAATCTCAATAGTCTAGCTCTTATAGTTTCCGAGATCTCAGCGTTCATACGGACGGACAAACAGACGGTCAGACGGACATGGCTAGATCGACTCGGCTAGTGATCCTGATCAAGAATATATATACTTTATGGGGTCGGACACGCTTCCTTCTGCCTGTTAATACTGTCCGACGAATCTAGTATACCCTTTTACCCTACGAGTAACGGGTATAAAAATATTCCATATATGACAAAAAGATATCTCGAGGTTCAGGTCCACTTTGTTATTGTGTATGGTTACCTCCTTTGTCACTGTTTTTGTAAACTTTATTCTATCTTCCATCTATTCCACAATTTCGAAAAGGATCCAGATTTTATTTAAGCTTCTCCGCAAGTATTATTTATCACTTTATGTATTGCGTTGAAGATAAATATGCGGTGGTCCACTGGTGCTACAATCATCTCTCTTTCCTTGATGTCGATCGAATCGCAGTTAGATGCTTTGCTCTTCAATATCCAACTCGCCGCTCTCGCAAATAAACACTATTCCAAGTCTATTACATTGCTTATTCAAAAAACTCATTGCAACAAATTTTGAAATAATGTTATATTTAAGGGAAACGGCACGACATGATATAATTTGTTTTCTGTTGGTTCAAATAACGGTACTCTTATACGAAATACAACTTTTTCTTTGTTAATCTGTGTCTGCGTTGTTAAAAGCTCATATATGTGTTCACTAGATTGGATTTGCAGATCTTTACCAATTAGGAATTGCTTACTTTTATTTAGCTCTACTTTTGATAAAATAAATTTCGGAATAACTCGAAGTTTTGCTATTACATGCTCTCTGCTAACAATTCAATATTATAGCTTATTCTGTTTAAATGTTGCAGCTTGTGAATGTCCACTCTCTAAATAAATTATTCTTGTAATTTTTTTTGAATAACTGAATATCATGTTGCTCACTATTTATGTGCATTGTTATATTTTTGAATTTGCTAAGAGTTTAGGTTAGGTTAGGTAAGGGCGGCTGTCGGACTATAGTCCGACACACTTAGACCCCTATGGGTCCATTGTGATACCGCATGATCTCGTTTTTCCTTATCTAAAGTCCCGTTTCAAGTAGCTTCAACCTGTGTTAGGCTGATCAGCATTTAATAAAGGCACTTATGTTTTTGAGATTAATCTCCGATACTTCGGTAAGATCGTCGATGAAGGGACTTCCTAAGTGTTTCAGTCTGAGTCTGCATAGGGACGGGCAGAAGCAGAGAAGATGTTCTACCGTTTCCACTTCTTCCTCATCCCTGCAGCTTCTGCAGAAATCATTTTGCGGGGCTTTTAGCCTGCCGGCATGTGCGCCAACAAGCCAGTGGCCTGTAAGAGCTCGAATCAACATGCCACACTCTGTGCGGCTGAGTTTGAGTAACTCCGAGGTTTTTTTGTTGTTTATCACAGGCCATGTCTGTTGAGAGATGCGACACTGTGGTGCGTTTTGCCAATGGGTGTTGGCTAGTGTGTTGAAGTGGTTTTTTATGTTTAGCTTGCAAGTAGCCATGGGCATACCGAAATTTTTCTCTCCTGTGTGGCGTGATCGCTAAAAGAGAGATTACAATTGTTTAGAATGGGTGGGTTGAGTTGTGGAATTTTGTATCTATTTGTAAATAGAACTAGTTCCGTTTTCGAGGGACTTACCCCGAGTCCGTTCGCTATTGTCCATTCCGATAGTATTTTAAGTTTAGCGGTCATAAGATCGCAAAGTGTTTGTGGATATTTTCGCCATCATCTTACAACCTCCTCCTTCCAGAATCCGCAGTAGTCTATTTACTGCGATATTCCACAAGAGGGGTGATAGTAAACCACCTTGCGGGGTGCCTCTGTTCACTAGTCTAGTCTGGGTTGAGGTCCCTAGTGTGGCTGTGACCATCCTCCTTATCAGCAATTTATGGATTAGCCTCACCATTGGCGGCTCAACCCCTAGTTCTGTGAGAGATTCTGTTATAGCAGTGGGGAGCACGTTATTGAAGGCTCCCTCCATATCCAGGAAGGCGATCAGTGTGTATTCTTTGATGCTGAGTGATTTCTCGATGCTGCTTACCGCCAAAAGTAGCGCCGATTCGGTTGATTTACCTTTTGTAAAAGCGTGCTGTGCTTCTGATATTTGTGTCGGGTCTACGGTGGCCCCTATGTGTAGGCTTATCATTCTTTCAAAGCTCTTTCGCAGGAATGATTTTAAGCTTATTGGCCTAAAATTCATTGCAGTGGTGTGAGTAGCTTTCCCTGCCTTGGAAATGAAAACCACCTTTGTTTCTTGCCACTCTGTTGGTAGTTCTGCTACCGCCAGGATCGATTGGAAGATTTGTTTCAGCCAGTTCATGGCTATTTGTCCTGCTTGTTAGATGTGAGCCGGTTTTATCCCGTCCGGTCCCGGCGATTCGTATGGTTTAATTCGGTTC